ACGCATGACGCATTCGATAAGTTCTTCTTCGTTGAGCGCATAAGTGTCGAGCTCCTTGAACTGGATTTCGTCCACAAGCTTGAAATGACTTAGCATGATCTCCTCGCCATGTTTGAGTATCCTCTTGATCGTGCCGAGACCGAAAGCTTTCAGACTAGGTGAGTATGCTATCCGTCGCACGGTCTCATCGACCTTTAGTGTCTGTACATGCGTTGTCCGTTCGGTGTCTACGAGAGCGATGCGAAGGTCTTCCGAGGTTGCGATGGCTACGGAGCCAGGGTACGCTTCCGAATCGAAAGGACACACTGTTGTCGCTTTCTCTGCTGTAACAGCGGAGTACACAAGACGACCTTCTGAGGAGTAGATCAAGGATGGGTGTTCGCATGTTGCAAAGACGTTGAATAGCCCGTTGCCGCGAGGCAGGGCACGGAAACTAGCTTCGCGCGTACCTAGAACGATGCTTTTCCTTCCGGATAGCTCATGTGTTGAGGGATCATAGGCGTATGTGACGACATTGCCATCTGCTAATGCGGCAAAGAGGGATGGCGGTTGTTCCGGGAATATTTGAGTCAGTAGCAATGAGCGGGGAACGGAGTCTTCGGAGATCTGAACTGTCTTGACCGCTTCCAAAGTATCGAGAGAGCATATCGCGAGTTGGGAGTTACTCCAGAAGCCGATGAAGCATACAGAGCTCGAGACTGACGGAAGAGCAATACAGGCGACTTGGCTTTCTGAACCGAACTTCTTCTCTTTGACAACCTGTAGGCCGTCTGCCATACTCAGAGAAACGATAGTCACGCCTCCTAAAGAGACAAGAGCATGACTATCGTTGATTGAAGCAGCGGTGATAGCCTGACCACCCATTGGCATCCATTCTGACGTTATCATACCGCCGTCCAGGTCGCAGATCCGGGCTCTTCCGTTGGTGACCTGTATTACGCGCCCTTGCGAGATATTCGCAGCGGCCAGTGTTGTTTCATCCAAAGCGAGTGAAGCAAACTCGTCCACCTCTTCTACCTCGCCTTGTGGATCGAATCGGAAGATGCGCGACTCGTTGACAAAGCTGACTAGTAACGTGTCGTCATACTGGGCAGATGCGGTGGATTTGAGACTGAATAGATCAGAGATCTGTTCCATCTCGCCCAATACACCAAGATCCTCCAGTCCGACTCCGCTTCTAACGCTTCGGAGACTTCCATCTTGATAGGCGCCACTACCGGTTACTATGCGCGCCTGGCCAGAAGAGTATTCATTGCTTTGCCCTTCACCAGATCTGTTGCCCATATCCATGATTGTGAAGTCAAGTATAGGCGCGATGTTGGAGAATGTCTGGACGACCTCCATCGACTTTTCTGCAATCTTTATGACTTGCGAATCGCCCTGATGCGATCCCACAAAGACGTAACCAGCATCGAGATATACCAGCGTAGATGCGCGAGACGTCTCCCCGATTACATCTAGCTTCCACGATTGAACCTTGCCCTGGCTGCTCAGGACCAACATGAACATGTATAGGCGACCGTAGTCATCGGCGAGCACGAATCGCTGTGCGTCGATGCGCTCCCAAGCCACAAAGATTGTCGCTTCGTCTAGTGGCTCGGTTTGGAGCTCCCCACTCTCGTCGTCGTAGTATCCGATGGATGTTTCGCCGATGACCACCAGGCCGTGGGAAGGCTCCTCGACGGGTATCAGGTGGCTCGAGCCAAGCTCCAGTTCGGTCTTGCAGGTCTCGCCTTCTTGCAGGTCCACCTCTTCGCCGGCGTAGGTGAGTTCCCGTAACTTCAGCTTGACTTGGGAGTGTGTGTCTTCGTATAGTAGCGCCATCTTGGGCTTGTCGTCGAAGGACCGTGGGCGCAAAAAGGCAGACGAGCGGACGAACATCTCAGGTAGTCTGACTGGTTGAGGGTCTCCCAAGTGGGCGATATCAGCCTCTTGCTTCCTCTTCTTTCCCCTTTGGACTAGCGGTATGACGGTCACGATGCCCTCGTAGACTTCGACAGTCATGAATCGCCCCGTTGGATCGATGTGACATCTCTCGCCCGTTTGCGACTCTCTTGCAGCATTGTCGGCCACGCTCGCGAATGATTTCTCCGTTTGTAGCTGTTTCTTCTCGGGATTCCATGACAGGGTGAAGTACATGTATCGATCGGTTCCGACAAAGAGGTGGTCGGTCGGCGATAGGGCTGGGCGGAGCTTCTGAAGCATAGTGACCTTGCCATAGATGGCCTTGGAGTGTTGGAGGGCCAATCCATCGGAAGTCTGGGTATAGAATTCGAGTCTGTTGGATTTGCTGCAATCGTATTAGCATTGGATAGATAGTGGTGCATGTACCCGCGGACTGCTTACGCGACTACGAGGCAATCCTCGTCCTGGGCGAGGAAGTTGAGCTTGAGCGCATGCCGGACGCTGCTTGGCCGGTGGATAGGTGCAATGTAAGCCATGGCGATATCCTGTTGCAGCTTGTGGATAGCTCAAAGTACAGAATAGAACTATCGTGGTTGGCGGGCTGGAGACATCGGATGCATTCCGTCATTGAGCTGCACGGGCCGCGGCTCCACGCGACTTCGCGTTGCGGGGCGGCCGTGACTTTTGGAACTTTTGGACTTTTGGACTTTTGGAACTTTGGGTGACCGCGACTCTTTTTGCTTGCAGCCCCGACGCGCCCACTTAAAATGGCCTGTACGTCCAGCCCTCGCTCTCCACAACACCAAACCAGATCCCGCTAACACAATGGACAACTCAGCGGCCATGGATATCGAAGACGAGGACCCCGTCGTGGCCGAGTACGACGTCTACATCACCCCCGAGATGGCCGAGCAGCAGCTGTACGTGCTGCAGTACCTGAATCGCCCGCCCGACCAGCCCTTCACCAAGGCCACCGAGAGCCAGCCCTCGCAGCTGCGCCTCAAGAAAGAGTCGGGCTTCATTGAGGTCGACGTGCCCGTCAACATCCACCGCAACTACAACCGCGTCGCCGGTGTGCGCTGGGGCGAGGCCATGCGCAAGACCAAGGGCTTTGGCCAGAAGGCCTTCGGTATCGCGTCCGGCTTCGAGCGCACTATGCCGCGCAGCACCAACCGCCCTGGCGCCGCCGGCGAGGGAGGAGCCCCCGCAGCGCCCATTGCGACCGAGGACGACGACAACTTTGAGGAGTACGTCACCCACTTCGAGGACGCCAACGAGAAGGGCCACGTCCTCAACACCCAGACATTCGGCGGCCAGATCATGCACGACGACGGCAAGGGCACCAGCTACATGCTTGGCACCTTCCGCGATAGTAAGTAGCGCGCGACAACAAGCCTCGCTTCAAGACTGACGCGGCGCAGACGAGCTCCACCTCACCCGCTGCAACGGCCTCGTCCAGCTCCGAACTCAGTTCCACCAGATCGACGCCTCCGCCCAGCTAGAAGCTGTCCAGCGCCGCCGCGAAAAGGAGTCACAAGAAGGCGCCAAGGTCGCTGAACCAAAGGCCTTCCTCGCCCAAGTCAAGAAGACGGGTGGTGACACTGCCGCAGAGCTGACTCAGGCCTTCATGAAGTCGACCAACCAAGAGCAGTGGCTGAGGCTCGACTACTACGACGAGAACGTACGTTCTTCCGTCTTGCGCTCCATCTCGCTGGTGACGAGCTAATCATGCTGTAGGACGAGCGAGCCTTCGATGCGTACAACGACCGCCTCTTCCTCGCAGACGTTGCATCCGCGCCCAAACTCCAGTCCAAGATCGACAACAACGAGTTCCTCGACGCCGTCGGCTCCGGCGGCAAAGCCAGCAAGAAGAGGCCTAGGCGCGACGCCGAAGACCTCATCGAGATATCCGACGACTCCGACGACCAGGCTGACGAGCCATCAGTGAGTTGAGCAAGTGGATTTCGCGCGTATAACACTGGCTGTTGCGCGACAGAGCTTCTCGCACCACCATTATTATCCGACTTGGCCATTGAACATCTATCCTCCCATTTACCTACTAGATACCCCCAAAATATTACTGAGCTGTTACTACATAATGATGCTGCAGGCCTGCGACTATCGACATGTTTCTCGTCTCCCCACGAGGCTAGAACTATTTAGTGACACAATGCTAATTTCCTTTCTCTTAGTATGATGTGGACTTGGGCTACCAGCCGATGGGACCGGGGAATTATCCCGGCAGACGCAGAGGTGTAAAACGCCTGCGTGGTCCCGGTGCGGTCGATTGGTACTATGCCGGATACCTACGATACGGCCGTGACCTTCGATACGAGGCTAGATTTGGAAGTAGCTATCCGCTATCTAGCGGATATGGGCCAGGAAACTGATGAGTGGATGACCGACATATCGAGAATAAAGACGCGATGCGGGAAGGGAAGGTAGCAGTCTCGATACCATGTGGGAAGCCTGGGAGCCTTGTCGTTGTTCGTCTCTGACCAGATATCCGTGAAGGGTGACTGGTCTCTATGAGGTTGATACGTTCCATAGTCGGTTTATGATGTAATGGATCGCGCTGAATCCTCGTCCAGTGCTTTATTCGAGTTCAAAACATGTGAGTGGTCAATACGACATAGCAAGTCGTGTAACCATGGTACACACTGGCTTGGGCCGAATTTCTCTTCCACAGGCCTATGCTTTGCTTTCCACAGCTTCTACGATAGACACTACGCCAGAGCCTGAGGATTGTGATCTCTCTCATTTGATGAGGATCGCCTTTGCGTATGTGGTGGTTATGTATTTCGGGAGTCACGGTGGCTCGTCTCGCTCTGTGTCATCGCAGTACCATGGATGCCACTACGCCCAGCACCCTATATGGAGAGTATCAAACAACAGCGTCCCACAGAGTATATCTTCACAGAAAGCCTAGGCAGCTACATCGCCGTTGACATCTTGCAATCCCACAGTTAAATATTAACGTAGACTCCAGCCAGCCTATCGAACTTCTTCTTCGTACGAGGCAAAAGCAGTTTACTGCATACCTAGGCCGCAACCATCTACCAAGAACTAGATTAACTCATCGACTACTTCCCACCATGTCCCAACGCAGGCGCTATACATCTCGTACCGACGAAGAGATTCGCAAAGAGATGGACCCCGGACACGTTCCATATCGTATGGGCTGGCCGATACTTGCACCTCTGCCGATGGACACCGACATAGATGCGAGATGGATGATACCAGGCTCATATCAGATACTGCATGATGTTCAGGATATTCTGATAGCACATGGCTTGCTACGTGGGACTACCGCGTTCCACTTTGCGTTCCGAGTTCCTCGGGATGCTACTGAGGAGAACGACAATATTGCGCATTTGACGCTCTTCATACGGGTCGACATGTTGAAGCACGCTCATCAGGACATTGAAGATGCTATCATCAAGATCAGAGCTAGCTTTCGCGATGATTCTTGGACGGAGGATGTCCAAATTGAGTGCATAGACTATCGAGCAAGGCATTCCTCCGGCATGATGTCTTTCCCCGTCCGCCATGATGAGTATGACATACACCAGCAATGGAAAGCCATATCTCCAGATGTTATGTTTCTGCTGAGCAAGCATGAATGGCTTTCGGTGGAAATTCTTCGTCGAGGATTGATCGACGATCGCAAGGAGTGTTCACCAACAATTGTTATCACCACACCGACTGCGCGCGATCCAAAATGGTTTAATATTGTGGTCCCTTCGATGATGGCTGAGATTGCCAAGAGAGCTCCCGAATTCGGCATCGAAATACTGTGTGGGAAGACGATGCTGGGAGCGAAGAGGCGAAATAGCTTGACCGACAGCGTCAACGACTCATCCTACGCCAAAATAGTCGACATAGGATCCTCTCTTGGAATTTCGGGTGATGAAACAGGTTGCAGTACTTTGGGTGGATCTGTGACCCTGGCCGGCGGCATTCGATGCGGAATAACGAGCTGGCACGGCGTCCGCGATGCACGACTTGACAACGGTAATAACTCATTATCAACTAATAAGATACAAACTGACCCTTACGTATTCGTCTCTAACACGACTAACACGACCAACAAGGCTCTAGGTGTCGACAACAAGACCCTGGCCAACACGCCTCAAACCATGGCATCGCCAGCGACGCTCGACCATCACGGCTACCTCAAAATGCTGCAAGAACATATCACACTTTACCGTACTTACGCTGCTGATGGAGATGTGGAATGCAAGATGCTGCACAAAAAGAAGGATGAAGAGTACAAGAAATGCGAAAGCTTCGACCGGAGTATTGGCTACGTCTATGCTGGCTCAGGCCGTCGAACTGTTGAGGCCAACAAGTACGCATCTGATCCGGACACCGGCCGATCCAAAGACAAGAAGGAGGCGACGCAACCCACGCTCGTCTTCCCACTTGACTGGGCCTTGATACGTATGGACGATACGACAAAACGCGACGTTAGAAACAGGCTGCCCGATGTTTACTCTACCAAGACGAAACTTGTCCCAACGCAGCAGTGCAGGCAATGGTCCACCTTCAATGTCCACAAAGAAGAAGTGCATGTCGCCAAGTACGGGCGCACGAGTGGCTGGACGGCTGGCACCGTCAACACTTGCATGATCATCATCAACCCTGATGCAGACGATGATATCTCGGGTGCCTATGGTATAGATGCGAAGAATGTGGCTGCATGCTTCGGCGTGGTTAGTAATGACGAGAGGAATGACTTCTGCGAGTTTGGTGACCATGGCAGTATAGTATTGCACGAAGGATCAGGCACGCAGCTTGGACTACTCGTCGGAGTGACTAGTACTGGACAAGGAATGTTTCTTCCTATGGACGTCGTCTTTGAGGATATCAAGAGGGTTACTGGTAAAGACGTTGTCATACCGTCTTTTGTTGGTAAGTTAATGTTCATTCCTGACAAACCAAGATTACGCTAACGAGAGATAGCTCCACAGGTAGTGGGACTTGTCCATGTGAGTTGACGGAGTAGTATGGAGCCGTGTGGGCGCACTGATTCAAACGGCGGAAGGGAGGCTATGTCAGAGCAAACGTGAGTTCGTTGAATTTTTTTAATATAAAACGTATATGGTTGCATGCACCCAACAAGCTAGATGGGTCCTGTCTTGTCTTGTAATCAGATGACATTAGAAAAACCTCGCTCCTTTCCCTTTCCGGTCAACAAGAACGCCAACAAAGGAAAAGATCATAGAACTTCCTAGACTCACGAGGTCTGCTGGAAGTACTGCTTCTCTTCTTAGTGATACTGCAGTACGAACAACGCACTGCTCTTCAACGAACAGTGTCATTGCACCCAATATGCTCGGTTTTAGCGGCTTCCGCTGCATGCCCTTAACGGAGCCTGTTAACCGGGGCGTACCAGCCTTGGCCATATTGGTCCAGTATAACCTCACTCTCAACGGATTTGTCGACTCATGGTGGTTTTGTAACTCTGGATCGTGGGGTTTTGTTGTTGATGGAGTTCTTGTGCTTTGCAATGTGCCTTTTGAGGTTCTTCTGATGTGCTATGCTGTCCCTGCAACCTTGAACAGGGCATGCATATCGATCATTGGTATGCCTGCTTCGTACGTGATCGCGCAGGTTCTTACGGTGGTCGTAACTCTGGGAGCATTCGGTGCAGAGATGCTTCTTCCTTCCTTCCTGGATGTACCGGCGTTGAAGCTGCTGAGTGGGGACAACAACTCTACCACGATCATGAGTTTGATCTGAAACTGCAGCGGTAGAACCAGATGATTGGGGTGAATGATCCATAGAATGCTCCGAAGTTTCGTTAAACCGCCTGCTACGATGGGCCGGGATGGACCGATCGTTGCGGAGTAAATGGATATCATCGAACGAATCATGTGGCGTGTACACACAAGCATTAGGAGCGTTGGTATCTTTCTGCGCCTCATTAGAGACCATTGGGTAGGATAGCACGTGTCGAGACACATCAGAAGTTTGGAGGGCAATTCCCAGTGATTCCACAGTCATCAAGACCGACGGCTCGATATTGTCGGGCCCTTGATCGCTTTCTCCGAGTAAATTCTTCGTAAACCAAATGTCTGGAAGAGGTTGCCACCAAAAGCGTTGTTGGAGGAGTCGAGGACAGTTGTTCAGATGATCATGATGTGCTGTCGGGATCGAAACAGCGCGAGGCTACCGTAGCCTCGCGCTACGTCTATCTCGAATGTGTTTGGATCTGACAAAGCATGTTAGAGATGTCTTTTTAGACAAGACGAACATATATGAACTTACTTCGGAAAAAAGTGAGTGACACCGAAGGCTCGTAGGTGGCCTCAGACGCAGCCCAGGAGGGCAAGTGCGTCCGGGGCAACTGATGCCGTCTTGGGAGACTATCGCACACACCTGTTGGAATAGAAGTAGCGACATTTGGTGAGGAAAGCCGTCCGCTTTTGAATGATGTCGAAAAGCAGTGGGGGCGGGGAGGGGGCCTCATGTCCGTGCGCGTCCTTCAATCTGGCGTCGACGTGCACATGCATGCATGATCGGCGACGTGACGCATCATCCAATCAAGTCTACAGAACAAGTTGTGGCCAGCTGAGGCCCCTCGGTGCGGCGCATCTTTCGTTGGACTTGACGATCTTACATTGGATCGTTCATGCTCCAAGCTGATTGAGACCCCCTCTTTCCCTGCAAGCCTGGCCCACGTCCTGCAGAGGCGTAGTCACAGCCCAGGAACAATTCCGGTGACTGCGATCGCAAGGTCTTAGTCTTCTCATAACGCTAGCGCATAGCCTTATGACGAGGCTTAGACTGTCGCCGAGACGCCTTTGCTACTGAGTGTGTAATTAGGCATGCACGGAGACTTGGGTAGGCCTTGTTAGCTGAGGCCCTCTTTTGTGATAAATGTTCAAACGGTGAGCAGACTTGAGCGCCTCCTGGGCCCGGCCTCCACATGTCTGTCCCATCTAGGCAAAAGCAAAAGAAAATCTACCGAAAGCAGTCAGCCCAGATATCTACATAGCGTTCGGATGTCGTTAAGAGCTATTGACGCATCAGTGTAGACTGTAGCGGACCTGTCTAGTTTCTTCCATACACGAAGCGTTTCTGTTTGTAGTGGGTTAATAACATATTTCTTACCAAGATCAACATTCTCTTTCCCTAGATTAGTCGCCTCAATCTAGCGCATGGGCTGTGTCAAAAAAAGTTCAGTGTGCAGTAATGCCGACGGTTACACGGAGTTCGCTAAGGCTGGCGTACTGAGACCCTCGACGATGGACCGTGTCTTCGATCGTTCACAGGCCATGCTCCGTGCTTTCGCTTTTCAAAGGCCAAGCTTGAGTAATGTCTTCATTCACCGGCCTTAGCTGATAAGCTAAGAGATGCATCGAAGCCGCTGAGGCCCTCGTTCGCCACGCATGAAGATACTGAGACCCCCAATATCTCATATCGTGCTCTTGAGAGAACCAAATCAGCTACCCAAGAGCTGCTGAGACCCCTAACATAACGGTCATGTCACTGTGTGAGCTATCTCTTTCTTGACACACGGGGACGCCTTGAGAGGCCCTGCCTTGAGCTGTACATTATCGCGGTAAGGGTACGTATAAATGGTTCGTCAACGCAGAAGTGTGGTTTCTCATACTTACATGTAAATCATACTTCCAAAATCAAGAAGCTGCCCACAACGATCTTGTAGCCTTCAATGACTTCTAAGCCAAGCACCGCCATCTCCTCTGGGAAGCCTGCCAGTGCAGATGACTCTGCAACTGGAAGCGATGGAAGTTCACTTGCTGACATCAACGCCTTTTTGGGCGGCATGCATCGTAAGTTTTCGGATTTCTCTTGGATTGATATGAGCTTGCTGTTAATAGAGTATCCAGAAACCACTGTGGTATTGCCTCAAAGCCCTTGGACGGTGTCGTCTGGGCATTACACTCGCCCTGATGGATCTGTCGTGCATATCGAGCATCCACAACAGATCCGTAGCACTGCGCTCAACAAAAGCGCCAGCTCGAGCATGGAAGTTCTGACTGGAGGAAACAATGAGCCTAGCGCACAGCATGGAGCGAAGAACAGCCAGTAGTACTGGCTTTATTAACGTGGTACGCGACTAGGCTAATGTACTTGTTTTGTCGCGGTGTTGTGTTGATGAACGGTGTTCTGAAGGAGATGGAAAGAGGAAGGGCAACGATCCAAAGCGATGATGCACCTAGGTACCCATACCAGTCTAGTCCCAATCGGGTTGGTGCTCACTCGACCCAGTGTTCTCTCCACACCTCCACCACGCTGCATCAAGTTCACGTGAATGCTAAGTTTTATAACACGTCTTCATTCGTAACATCTTCCTTTTTCCATCATCGCATCCCATATATTCTGAAGATCCAGAAAATCAGCATGCCACCCGCAGCCCCACCTTCCTACCCCCGTCCCGACTTCCTTCGCGAAGACCTAACATGGACGCCCCTCAACGGCCCATGGTCATTCCTTTTTGATGACAACGACGTTGGCCTGACCCAAGGATGGCATTTGACCTCTCTCCCGGACAAGATCACCGTGAACCCCACCAACACCAATAGCGCCGAGAACACCGAAGCGCACAGCATCACTGCCAAGATAGCCGCTGGGACTCAAGAGCTGCTGCAGGGAAACTCATTCAAAAATGAACATACTGTACATGAGAAGAGGAACATCCAGGTTCCGTACGTGTTTCAATGCCCGGCCTCTGGCATCGAGGAGAAGGGCGTGCATGAGGTACTGTGGTACGAGAGGGTCATTGCAGACCCGAGAACTATGGACGAGAAGGCGGCTGGAAACCGTGTGGTGCTCAGATTCGGAGCCGTCGACTACGAAGCCAAGATCTGGCTTAATGGGCGCTTCTTTGGTGGCCATCGCGGTGGGCATGTGCCTTTTGACATCGATATCACGGATGCCTTCACGGAGGAGAAGGCCCAAAGACTCACCATCCGCGTATTTGATTCTGCACACGATCTGACACAACCGCGAGGAAAGCAGTACTGGAAGGCTCAGCCAGAGAGTATCTTCTACACGCCCAGTGGCGGTATCTGGCAAAGCGTGTGGCTTGAATCAGTGCCTGTTGTGGCGATTGGAGATGCAAGCGCGGGCACGCTATTCAAGAGCAATGATATCGAGAGCGGCAAGCTGGAAGCTAGCATCAAAATCATAGGAAGGCCTGCTGGACATGCATACAGCGTAGAGCTCGAAGCCAGCCTGGCAGGTGTGCCCGTCAGCAAGACAGAGAAGGTTGCTCTTCCAAGAGACTCAGACACTGCTTCCTTGAGCACCAACATGCGACTTTCCGACTCCCAGACTTCACAGCTGCCTCTTACATCCACTGCCCCACTTTCTGACGCGACAGCATGGCTCAACAACCTAGCCCTCTGGTCTCCGGAGGAGCCCACTCTATACGATCTGACTATCCGCCTCTACGACAATGAAGACAAAGTCATCGACCAAGTCCACACAACAACCGGAATGCGTTCTCTCCACTGGGACAACTCCACCTTCCGACTCAACAACCGCCCATACTTCCAAGCGCTCTTCCTAGACCAAGGCTACTGGCCCGAGACCTTCATGACACCCCCATCCTCCGACGCACTGAAGCTAGACATTGAGCTGACCAAGAAGATGGGCTTCAACGGATGCCGCAAGCACCAAAAGGTCGAAGACCCACTATTCCACTACTGGGCCGACCGACTCGGACTGCTAGTCTGGGGTGAAATGGCAAACGCATACGCATTCTCCGAGGCGTATGTAGAGCGTATGGATCAAGAATGGCGCGAAGCCGTCTTGCGCGATCGGAACCACCCTTGTGTCGTTGCTTGGACCCCAGTCAATGAGTCGTGGGCATACACTGATCTGCATACTAGCAAGCAGCAGAGAGACCACATCAGGAGCTTGTACTATGCGACCAAAGTCCTGGATTCAACGAGACCCATCAACGATAACTGTGGCTGGGAACACGTCATCACTGACCTGACCACGTTCCACGACTACGCCGATGCGGATGAACTTACAAAGACTTGCTCGACGCTGGACGGTATCATGAAGAAGCAGTCGAACCGACCGACGTTCCTCGCACCTATCGAGAGCTTGTCGGATCCCGGGTCGAAACATACTTCTGGTGCACCTGTTATTTGCACAGAGTTTGGCGGTGTCAACATTGCGCGATCGGCTGCGGGTGAAGAGGATAGGAAGAGGGACTGGGGTTACACCACTGCTACTGATCCCAAGGACCTACTGAAGCGCATTGAGAAAATGATGACGGGAATTGTAGACGGTGGGCATTGCTGTGGGTTCGTGTACACACAGCTTACAGACATCGAACAAGAGGTAAACGGCGTATATACACCGGACCGGAAAGAAAAGTTAGATGCTGCTGAGGTTAAGAAAGTGGTTGAGCGGGTTATGGAGAAGTATGCGCAGATGCATAAGTAGTTGCTTGGATCAAATAAGCATGTAGAAAAATGCAAGCATTCACTCGAGTTAGGAGATAGTATCTTTGTAGTTTTGTTTATTCTGCGCACGTCTTTGGTGGCTTCGTATTATCATACATGAGTTCTTTTCAATCGTACATCTACCTTCAACCAGTAGCTGTTGGTATCCATCCATAGTTGACAAACGCCCTCTGTCGTCATGCTGATATGTGGCAATCGCCCAACCATGATCTCCAATGCACAATATCCGCTTCGCTACTCACAATAGTATGCACTGAGTTTGCAACCTGGTCATACGATGCGCGAGATGCGAGTGACTGGAACCGGTAATCTCCAGGATGCGTGACTCCGGGAACGCAATAAACAGAAGGAAAAGGGTATCGTCCGTAGTGAAAACCGCATAACTCCGCCCGTCCTGCTACCAATGCATGTCAAAGCAATCAACCACCATAGCGTACACCGCTCCTCAAGTATCGCACACTCTCATCTTCAAGACGTCGTGGCTGCTGATCCTCTCGGAGCGGAATGTAGTCCTGGTTCGGCTGGACGCGCCTCTCATACATCCTATTGTCAGGCACGTAAGCACGAGACGGATCAACAGGGTGTACATCATACTGTGCACCTCTCACTTCATGCGCATGCATTCGGTGAGACGGTCCAGAAGCATATGCATATCCACGAGGATCAGCAGGCGCAAGCGGGCGTGCAGAGACATCGTAACCTCTACCACCACTAGAAGGTGGCTGGTAAGGACTGGTGGTCAGATCAATAACTTGCTCTCTAGGCGGCGGTGGCCTTGGCCCATAATTGGGCGCCATGCGCTGGCTCATGTGAAATCCTGCTTGATCATCTCCGTAAGTCCGGGGGCGAGCTTCCTCACGGTATACGGGCCTTAGACGCTTGGCGTGTTGCTCGGCCTGAGACTGTCTGTCATCCGCAAAAGAAGGGAGCGCTTTTCGCTTTGGCGATTGCAGCTCGTTATATGGTCTGTTCGGATTCGCGTTATGGTTTCGGGCAGGCTGCTGAGAAGTTGCAATATGTTGTGGTGATGTCAAATCGACTGTCTCAGGCTCAACAGAAGGGAGCACAACATCTTGGTCTGATGGGCGCCTTGGGTGCGCTAGTGGTCTGTCAAAGGCACTGTGACGAGGTGATGGAGGCTGAGCATATCCTTCCTGTACGCGACGAGGCGCAGCGTGCAAAGGAGGATCGTTATACTGTAACCTCGACGCACCACGATCTTCCTTGATGGGTTGTAGCTATGCGTGTTAGCTCAAGAAGAAGCCAAGGACAAGGATACCGTTTTCTCTTGCTCATAGAGCTTGGTTGTCGAACACTCACTTGGTATAGTTGGCCGTTGATCTCACGCACGATCGGCTGTGCGTTTCTCACACTCTGGCCAGCCTCGGCTGGTCTCGCTCGCCTACAGTCGTGAGTATTAAATTCGATGTCAGCTGTCGTATGCACTTACGGATCGTTTGTCCTCGTTCGCACTGATTGGAAAGGCTGCTGCATAGGTGACTGGAAACGTGAGGTGCCAGATAATACAGGTGGCGGTGGAGGAGCATAGCGCGGAAGGACAATGGTTCTTCTTGATGAAGGTCTCATGTTGCGGACATCCCCACTCGGGTAGTTAGCATGTAGTTCCGGCTGTAGATCGCGCGCAGTAGCACGACTGGAAACAATTTCCATGCTTTGCTCGCGCTCATCAGGCGTGGCCATGGAGCCTTCATCGCTGCTAGCTTCATCATCATCGTCAAGAACAATGACTTCACGGAAGGTTTCCTCAAGTTCGTTGCTTTGCTTTCCGTCTTCATCTCGCCACTCTTTGAGTTTCGCAAGAGAGACTTTCTCGACTTGGCCACGGGCTTCCGACCAGCCGTCAGTCTTGAGCAGCTTATCGTAGTCTGTGTATGTGTGGCGGATATGCGCGACAACTGCGAGTTGCACCCTACGAGCCAACGAAAGCTCCTTAGCATTACCTACCCGGTTAGTTCCCTCCTCAAACGCATGAGAAACAATGGCTTGTAGATCTGCCTCTGGTATCTTGGGAAACATCTCGCGAACGGCGCCGTGGATGTAACCCTTGGTCTCCTTCTCAGTGGCGGGATGCCCCCGTTGTACTTGCCGCGAAGAGTAGTCTTCAAACTCTTGGGCTATCCAGTTGGTTCTGTCACCTTCTTTGTCCTTCCGCAGGCCGCGTCTCTCATCGTAGAGATATCCGAACTTGTTGCAGGCAAGTTCGATGATGGTGAGAGGAAAGTGGTGTCCGACTCGGTGGACGTGGTGGGATAGCTTCTCGGGATCGGAGTGGGTTTTGTTCTTCGGCTTGGCCTGCGACGCTGTCAGTGGGTGACCTGTTGGCTTGGGAGGGACCGAATGCTCACAGAGACGATGTGTACGTCAAGATTGCGCTGTCGGCACTGCTCCTTGCACCACTCTGTGAATTCGGGGTGTCCAGCTGGGATGAAACCGAAACCAGTGGGTGCGTTCGACGCGTATGTCAGCTATTCTACAGTCAGTGGTGTTATATGACGATGAAATCGCGTCGCCGACGGACAATGGAATGTAGCTTCTTCTTCTCTTGGGTTACCGCTTCTAGCACGATCTTGTACGGCTTCTTCTTCTTGACGGCGGCTCGCGACTGATCAAGCGTACTGCCGCGCTGGGGCGGCTGTTGCGCACGCGGATGATATACTCTGGTCATGGCTCTGGTATGCAGATGATGTTCATAGATCCCACAGCGGACCAGGGCAATATGAGTCGCTACTGGATGAGTGAGCACCCTATGTGGCCTGACACGGCGTGTTCAGCGATTAATACGGTAAGCGCAGCAGTCACGATGTCGTGCAATTGTCCAGAACGAATCCGGATTGCGTATCTACAAGCCCCGGTCGATGCAAAGGCACAGGCGGGGTGTCGGGTGGTACGTGTTGTGGTGTTGAAGAGTTGGCGAGGTTGGCACTGGGAGCGCAGGTGGCGGCTGCGCGCGTCGGCGTTACCTTCCGCCGACCCAGCATCCGAGGTCACAGCCTGAAGTGCTGTGCGTGGGCTCCAGAACATGTCACAGCAAGCAGTTCTTCACGCGTATAGGCACCTATACCGGCACAGTCTCAGAGCTATCCAGTTCTCGAAGCCGGCTCGATATACATTGCGCGACCGCATTCGCCTAGCCTTTCGTAAAGGCTCCGCGACCGATTATGAACCACAGAGGATACAGAACACGCTCGAGTTCCTGCAGTATGCGACTAGGCAGAACGGTCTCGAACACAAGATAGTGAAGAATCTGCTGTTCGTATGGTGGGTACAGAATCATGGAGGTCGCAATAAGCACAACCCGAAAAATGCCATGTATGTACCCAGCTCTCATCCGTCTTCAATGGCATGCAGCTGACTCTTTCAGGACGCGTGAGGACCTCGAGGTCAAGACCACCGCGTACGATACCTTCAACCATAATATCCGCATGTTGAACGAGAGCATGGGCCTATGCCTTCCAGCCATGACTGTTCGCGACCCCAGTTGAAGCGACCCCGCTATGCCGACACCATTGCTACTGTGGTGCCCACGTCATCTGCGGGATACACAAATGCGAGTAAAGACCTCACATGAAGTCATCGAGGAAGTTCTCATCGCGGTTCTCGTTGGAGTTTTGCTCCAGACTCTCCTCTGTCATGACATCGTCGTAGGCATGATCTCTCCGCCACGCAAGCTCCTTGCGCTCCTTGGCTATACGGGCCTCTTCTTTGCGCTATAAATCATTAGTCGCGAGTCGAAGTCGCGTGTGCGAACCGAAAGAGTGCGTCTGGATCAGAACACCCGTGGTAGGAGATAGAGAGTGTCGGAGAGATTGCAAATGACAGGATAGATCATGAGAACATGCGTAGATGGAGAAAGGGGTCATGCGAACATAGTACATGCAGAACAAAGCAGGATAACGAGACTTGGGGAATACACATACCTTGGCTTGCAGAGCACTCTGATCTCGCTTCCTCAACTCCGCCCGCCTTGCTTCTCGCTCCTCTCTTAGGTCGGGGTACTTCTCAACTTTTGTTTTGTTAAGACGGTTGACAATAGGATTTTCTCGCTGCTCCACATGTATGCGCTTCACCTAGTATGCTATCAGCAAACCGAGCAATAAGTTGCGGTCGAGCCAAGGGACGTGACGCAAGCGTTTTGTGCCGCATGGTAATGCGCTTACCTTTCGCTGATCCTTGAACCCAACTTGACCTACAGCCATACTCCCATCTTTCTTCAGGTTGCTCCAAGGCGTATACACAATCGTAACGTTGTCTTTTTTGTTGCCCTCAATACTGTTCGCCTTGGTTAGTTGCGCGCAGTCCACCAGCAACTCTTTGCTCATGTTTTCCCAATCTTCGCCCTCGGGTAACCGGACGTAGATATGAGCCGAAGAGAGGTTGTCGGCGTGAAACCAGACATCTTCGTCCCAGCCGTATTTGATAAGCTCTTCGTCTGTTGAGGTGATCAGTATGTGCGGTTGTAGTTGCGTGAACCACTGAGAGTACGCTGGCAGGTCAGAAATCACATACTCTCAACCTTGTCTTTGCCGACGTAGATAAAGGCTGACGGCGACACCGTGTTGGACGAGAAGTAGTACACCATTTTGCGGACAGGAAAGCTTGATCTCAAGTGTCTGGGTCAAGCAGCAAGTGAGAAAGTTGCCGGGGTCGTGAAAATGGAAGGCACGTGTGGGGTCTAGCGGGGTATCCACAGCCCTAGGTACTTAAGGGTCCGTAGCAAAGCATGCAACACATCACAGTGATCACGACTCGGACGTGAGCATGCAATTTCTCGAAGCGTTGAATTTGCGCCTCCTAGGTTTTGTGGTCGTAATGTCATAGAATATATACAGGAAGTGCGACGTCTTGCATCACCTACTTCGCACCTCTCTTGTTCAGGAGCGCATCCTGACTCTCTTCCTCTTCACCTGGCGCAGCCTCCACATCATGACTACCAGCTCCATGCTTCAAGCTGTCCATGGGATTGTCCTGCCGAGCATGCTTCGCGTACTGGTCGTGGCCCTTTGCCCTTGGGTCGAAGCCCGCGTCATCCAGGTTCTTCTTCTCAATACTTGACGGTAGCTGGTCGCCAGTACCAGTTATGACTTCGCCTGTTTGTCCGCGGTCGTTCACACTGCGCGGTATGTCGAAAGCGTTATCTGCTACATGTGCGAGATTCGTGTGAGTCTGATCCGGGTGGTCAGAGGGTGAAACCTGAATCTTGTTTAGTTATATTGTACTTCACAGAAGAATATTACACCTGGATCCGATGTCCATACTTACCACGTTCATCTTGCCAGCATCGCCAGGAATGGTCGTGCCCTCTGCAGCCATGTCTTCTAGACGGCCTCCTTGGTGCGGGTCTGGTGCCATGATGTCTGATCTAGTTACGATTGAAAGAACTAGTTTAAAATTTGTAGACGCTGAGAAATTTGGAATTGTTCAGATGGTCAAATGAAGCTGTGTGTTAGCAACAGAGTAATTCCAGCAAGCACGCGAGCTCTCATTATAAAGCTCTGTCATTACGTGCCTGAGTACCAGTGGGCCATCTGTCGTCATAATGATGGTGATGTCAGAACACCATCTTGGTGTGAAGGAAATGTGCTGTGAGGACCGACTTTCCGATCGAGTACCTGGAGGGGCAAGATGCGCCAAGGAGCTCACGTGCGGAACGCGCCGCGTGTGGAGTTCTTTCCTACACGCGACTTGAACTGCATAAATCCATAGACTGTAAACAAACAACAAACCCCGCAACTCCGAACTTGTCTTCTCTCAAGGAACCTCAGACCTACACAGTACACCGACGATGCCAGCCGCCGAGCAAACCTCAGCCGACGCCCGCCGAAAGGCCGCTCGCGAAGTCATCGACATTCTTCATGAAATCGCAACATTGCTAGTACGAAACACTGCGCCTTACTGAAGCGCCCGACATCTGACATAAGCCCCAGAACACCCACCTGGATCGGCAGCAACTGTCTTACTGCGTATCGCTCATCGAGAACGGCGCGAACCCGGAGGCATTAGCGGTACGTAGCTCTGCGGCACAGCAAGGTGTAACAGCAGATCGCCTCGCGCGCGGTTCGCACTGTCGCTTTGAAGTTGAGGCTTTTTTGCCTGAGCACTAAATATACTGACTGTGCCACAGAAAGTCATATTGCAGCTACGCGAGGAATACCCAACGAGTTCAGTCGACGGTGACACAGAGGCCGGTGCAGCCGCGCGTTGAACCGATTAGACTCGGAGTCCGAAACTGCTCTTGTGCAGCCTTGCACGGCGGTTCGTTGTGTCAGCTTGCAACTTCACATGCAAACCGACAAAAGAGCGAGAGGGGGAGTTTGACCAGTAGCGGCGGTGGTTCCTTCCTTCCCGTGAAGAGTCTGGAACGCTATCAGTACAGCATCCAACTTCTCTACAGATCGGCGTTGCTAAGCCATCGCCTACGGTTCCGCATGTACATACTTGGCATGCATCATGCAACATTGACGGAAAGCCTGGAAAGCCTAATCTCCCCTTGTACATGGAGGGGCAGTAGCGAGCAACGCGGGGCAAATCTACCAGCGAACCGGAATCTGACGCCAAGGTGTTGATATCGAAAGGTTAATGCATCGTTATCAGTACATGCGGCTTGTCTTCCCACACGTCTATGGATCAGGAAACATGTCGCGATAAGAGCTTCCCGGCTTACAACCACAGAGTTTGAGGATGGTGTGCGGAACAGCCGGGTATGCGGCCGTATCAGTGAATATTAATCTATGAGCTTCAAGCGCGATGCAAGCCATCATGTCACCGGAGTTGGCCGCTATGCAACTAGAACTGCTAGACACTGTCATTGTGATCTACCAATGAAACTCCTCTGTAATCGTCTATTATGACTCTGATGATCTGTATGATGACGATAACGACAAGAGCTCGATACCGAAACGGTAACATGGAAAAGCAAGTACGGAAAGCTTGATGCTAGCAACGATAACGATCGTTTGGGGTATCATCAACGAGAGGAATGGGGTATCATCCAGTAGAAAACTCGTCGCCGCGCCAAAATGAAAGCAAAACACCACCCCATCTGCTGCCCTAAAATAGAAAAATGTGGTATGTGTCTACCTGCTGCCCCAAGTGGGCGAGCTCTGACGCTGGCGGAAGTTGCCCTTCGCGTCCGCAACCTTTTGTAGAGCCTTCTCGGCCTTTGCGTCTTGCTTGTTGAGGTAACCGTTGAAGATGGCAGGGAGGATACGCTTAGAGTCTGATGTTCTGTCAGTGATGACCTGAGGATATGAGTAGACGTGAACTTACTGGCATGGTCGGCATCAAAGACAATGCCATCTGCGCCGCGCTCTCCTGCCACCTTGACAGCCTCCTCCAACAAGCCCCCACCAACGCCCTTGCCGCGGTACTTCAACTTTACAGTCCAAGCGCGTACAACGGCCTTGCCTCGCCTTCTCCTGCCTCGCTTCTTCGCGGCATCATTATCGGCCCAACCCAATACCAAGGATCCGATGACGTCCTCACCCCACTTCACCACGATGAGTCTGTCATCGCCCAGCCAATCCATGTTGATATCCTCGGCCATACCGATGTAGCCACCGGTCATCCATCGAATGAAGATGAGGAAAGTCATTGTGATGCCTCCAATGGTTGTGGCCAACATCGTTTTGTCCTCGTACCAGCGTAGCATGTACTGCGCAGCAAAAGCCACAACTACAACGTACGCGGCTAGTGAAACTGGATGGAACAGCATGACCTTGCTGGCGACCTGGCGCTGTTGTGCCACGGAATCTGCGACCAAGCGTAAGCCTTCGATTCGGTCCTCCTCTGTCTCAGCAGTGTAGGTAGAGAGTTGCGGCAGTTCATCCGTAGGCGACTTGGCCGGCGCGTTCGGTTCGGTCGACGACATGGTATGGGATTCGGCAGGCGAAGGGTACGGGTTGTACTGTGCAGGCAGCGTTGAGTAGGACAGCGATGTGGAGGGAAGTTCTTGGACGAAGTTGTTCAATCGGAACGAGGTTGGTGTGGGTAGCGGCGATGGTAGATCTGGATCAATTCTGAGGTTTGCGCTCAGCGACGTCAAGAATGCTGTTGTTGCGCGTTAGCTCGTATTCGTACCCAAAGATCTCGCGCGTCGAAGTCGCTGCATGGTTGACATCACAACCCCAGTCGCGGCAACCGAGCACACGACCATCCCCAAGAAAACCAAATAGGGCCAAACATACCAGCACTGGTCCTAAATCCCGGTAAAGACGGTATCGCAGGAATCGCCTTTTCAAGACCCGAGTAATGGTTCACAACAACTGTATCCTGACCCAGAAAATGTTGTTGTCTTGGAAACGCATGCGGACCCGGCGGAACCTTGAGATGGCTTGGAGGAAGTTGGCGACGCATCCTTCTTATAGTGTAAACCCGAGGCTCAATGCTTTCCGAAATTCGATTACATATACAAGCGTATGTCAAACACGTGGGCGGACCAGCCAGGAAAGGGAAGACAGAGTAATTAAATGAAGTAAGGTGCAAAGTGCGGCGGGAATTGGGTACGTAGTTGTGGAAAGGTTACGAGAGGCTAGAAGCAAGAGCCAGACAACCAAAAAATCCAGATCGCGAACAAGTGGGAAAACGTGCGTTAAAGTATTGGCTTACAAGCCAAGACACCTATAACACAGATCCTTTCAGACACACGATTTCCCGCGTTAACGGGGTCTTTCTTTCGCACGAAGCGGGTCCAACACAAACGCACAAGCCATGTCATGGTACGTTCCGCGCACTTTCTTGGTTGCGTACGTGCGGGTGGGAGCGAAGCGCAGGAGTCGAGGCGCTGCCCGGCTGCGACGACGATCTTCACAGGCCCACCCTGAGCTCACCTTTTTGACCCCCCTGGTCCGCGGTGCTTCAGCTGCGAAGACAAGTGTATGCGATGGCTATTGGCTGGGGGCCGCAATAGAGATAAGACGCTTGAGGGCCAACAAGACTGCACACAAACGGACCTGGATCATGGGACCAATTCAACGGCCAGAGCGGTGTAGCGGGATTGGATAGGCTGCGGATCCGTTTTGGTGTGCGTCTGCATCTTTGTTGGTTTTTGATGAGAGGTGTGGTGGTTTCTATTTTTCTAGCTTGGCCTTGTACAAGCGGCTATCTGCAAAATGCAACACATGCAAGACCCGGCCCTTTATGCTGAAGCTTGTTCTTTCTAGGCTGACAGAAGCCTGGATGTGTACACCTTCGTGCGTCCTGATGGGACGTTGCTACGAAGAATAAAGTGAATCTACCTAGGTATGCTGGTGTGGCTTTTCCAAGGGCAACTTGGAACATCCAGATTCCTCGTACCGTGGCCTATTCCAATTCATGCAACTCTGCCTCCTACGCCTCTCATTCGCCCCAAGGCAGATCTACCTACTACCCGCCGTTCGCTTGATACCCAAAATCTGTCATGATGACAGCCGTCACTCCATCTTCGTCATGCGAGTCCCGCGCCGGGGCTCGCTTGCGCTTACCCTGAACAACCCCTCCAACCCGTTCTCGGCCACTCATGCATCAATCTCAAACGCTTCCTTCGCGCGTCAAAGCGGACAAGCTGAGACTGCGCAAGCATGCGTCTTGTATTACCGTAGTTCGTTTCACGTTCGTTTGCCACGGCCAGCGGCTGTACATGACACCCCCTGCTTTCGATTGACGATACACAGAGACCCACTTTACTTGCTTGCGCGTTGCTGCTGGACGCCGAACGGGCGTTTGTCGACATCGAGTATCGTGACACAGGCGTGGGATGCGCATGTTGTTTACTGCAAAGACGTGCTTGCTGCATGCCTCTTCTCTCTGCAAAGACGACTCCCCCACCCACCAGAATGACAAACTCCCCAATCCACTCCTGGCAAGTATGGCGACCTAGTGCGATAAGCTTTCCCCTCGTGATGAGGTCTCGAGGTAGAACACCCACGCATCTCGCCAACCAACAGCCCCCAACTCCACATTTCAGCTTTCAGAAATCGGCCTAGATCGCTGCTACTAAACTCCCGCACATCGCGCATCATATTCGCGTCTGCCAGCCAACCACAGTGCATGCATTATCCTCTGGGCCCCGGCTTGGCATAACAATGCTGCGATCTGACGTGTGTGCTCTCCACATCAGTCATCCACTCGCAGCATCAAGAAGATCACACCTGAGGCATTGCATGCATGTCTTGCGTAAACACGCGTCGCTTCTCCACCAGACAGAGTAAAGCCGTTGGATCAGGATAAAGGCTTGTTTGACATCGCAGATTGACGTGCGGAGAATCCTCCATCGAGCGAACTGAACCGTGTGCTCGTTTCGAGTAACGGGGAATGCGCGCGTTTTGGGCTTGTCACCTGCGTGGTGCTTGTTTCGAAGTGTCAGGATCGCCGCACGGTACGCCAAGCGAAGGCTGGGGAAAGTAGAAATCGGCCAGAAACAAACACTATACCAGCATTGCGTCGGTCGGAGTTCGATGTTCGAAGTAAATGGTCTGCTTGAATGGAGCTCGTCCTTCGTCATCGGTATCCGCATATAAGCACTAGAAACAAACGTGGGGAAGGTTTGCTGATCGCGTTTTGTACATTTGTCCGTGAGGCTCGCAGATATTTACATACGCCAAACTCCATCACACTTTTTTGGCTCGTAGCTTCCATATACTGGTCTCGTCAATCTTTGGTATTGACATGACAACATTCAAGGTATTACAAAAAGGCGTACGAAACGCGTGAGAATCAAAGAGCAGAAGAACCGCCTTTCTAATCGGGCCGGAACACCTCATATCATGCGGACAGGAAGAGCCTGTAAACACCCGCCTGCTAATCGTCCAAACGCCAATATGGAAAAATAAGAATACCCTCATCGGGTTCGGGAACGACGCTCATTTCTTTTGTTGCGTGTTTGGTGCCGAGGCGACGCCTGCACCTGGCTCGAGCGTATGGTCGTGGTTGTCACATCGGAGCACCCTTCCGCCCTCTTCTTGTGTGCACACTGCACTACCAGTGACCCACTTGTCTTCGAGGATCTCATCGAGAGTCGCGCGCTTCTTAGGATCGATTTCGAGCATTCTGCCTATGATATGCCTACTTTCTCTGGGTAGCAAACGCAGCAGGCGCCATGGCCCTTTGATCACTTGCGGTGGCTGCTGGCTCGTCGACGATGTTGAAGCGCGATGGTCGGCAGAATGCTCTGAAGTTTGGTGTCGAGACGCAGGTTCGGATATGACTCCTGATTGGCGGCGATCGTCACCTGCGCTGTGCTGGAGGTCAGTGGCCGACTTGGAAGGGCCTGTGATCGATCTCGGTCCGTCGTTGGGAGGGGACACAAAGAGCTTGTATGAATTGTCGGATACGCGCGGTGCTTTCCATGGAAATCGACGTAGCGTCATGCAGCAAAACATGATGGCAAGAGACCAGATGTCAGTCGGTTGCGGATCGTACTTGGAAAGATCGTAAACTTCTGGAGCGAGGTATGGATCCGAGCCGACAATACCTGGAGGGATTAGAAGGAGCTTTACTGAAAGGCATAACAGACTTACCACTCGCAAGTACAATCTCGTCTTCGAATGGATACTTGAACACAGCAGCACTCCCGAAATCGATGATCTTCATGATTCCGTGCTCGTTGACCACGACGTTGTCAAGCTTCAGATCCCGATGTGCCAAACCCATGCTGTGGAGGTACGTCACTCCGTTCAAGATCTGTAAGGTACAGCAGGTAACCTCTTCGCGACTCATCTTTCCAGTCATGACTATAGCGAAGAGATCATAAGGTGCGTATTCCATCACCACATAATAGGCGCCTTTCTCGTTCACCAAGTCCATAGTCTCGATGATGTTTCCGTGGTGCAGCGTCGAACCTATACAGAATTCGGCAGTCACCTTTTTGTTGTAGTCTTTTTCAGACTCGTAGGAATGACGGTTCCGGAACTGCTTGACAGCGAATGTGGTGCCATCGCTGCTTCGCTTCATGAGTCGAACTGACCCACCTGCTCCTGAGCCCAGCACTTTTCCGAACTTGCCGTACTTGCTCTGAAGGCCGTGGTCGTCAGCGAATGGTACGCTCATAGCCCCGTTCGTGATCGGTGGAGTCATCGTCCCTGACTTGTTCGACTTGATCTTCGCACTCTTGACCGACGGCGCAGGGGATTCTTTGCGCTTTTCCTTCTCTTTATCCTTGTCCTTGTTTTTGTGTCCAATCTTGAAGAAGCGCTTCAGTTCGGACATGGATCCATGATGTTGTTTGCCATTTTGCGATTTGCTGTCTTCCGCATCGGAGTGGGTCTTCTTCTTTCCAAATATACTCGTTCTTTTGCTCTCTTCCTTATCAGACTCAGTTCCTTTGGAGCGGGGTAGCTGATATATAGATGATGCTGCCGAGTTGCGCCCATCGCGTCCGCCATAAATGTACCGGGCTTCGAGCGAATCTAGGTTCCTGGATTGCGCCGCGCGTTTCGAGCGTGCATAGGTATCGTCTCTGTCGCCCTGTGGTGTATATGGCCGGGAGCCAGGTGCTGGAGTTGACGTTCCTGGCGTACGCTCTCCTCCGGATCCTGCCGGACTAGCATCCCGGGAAGCCGGATTTGAGTCACCAGTAGGGCCCATTGTAAACGCAGGCCCGCGCTTTGGGTGCGGCTGGACTACGCCGGACAGATCGGACGAAGGGCGAGGTGATTGCGGTGCGGTCCTAGGAGAGCCGGGAACTGGTAAGGAAGATTGGCTTTCGTTTGGACTTTGCACGGACGAGTCCATTGACGTTGGCGGAGCTTCATGCGGGGGTGAGACCTGAGGCGTCATCATAGCGGGATCGCTGGGGCGCTTCTTGTGACCCTCTGCGTTGGCCCTCTCTTCGCGAGATGATGTGCCCGCCGGTGTTAAAGGTGGGGAGTGCATGGCGGATGCGGGTGACGATGGAATAGAAGAGCGGTGTCCTGAGTGTGCTGAAGCTGTCCGTGAGGCTGGAGATGGGGAAGGTGCCTTGTGGCTGTTAGCTGTGTGTTCAAACTGTGGGGTAGTGTATGAGGCTTGCTTACTCGTGAAGGCGGCAGTGAGACAGGCTCGAAGGAAAAGTTCTCCATACGCTTTGCCTGCATTCGTGATTTCTGGAGAGTAGACGACAGATTACGTAGGTCTTCCTCTGCCTGGGGGCTCAATGGGCCGTCGGGCTGTGCCTTGTCGGTGCCCGTGAGTTCCGCAACATCTCTTACGGCCTCTTCGGGCTCAATTTCCTGGTTGACCTCACTGAAGCGGACGGATTGCGCAGGCGGTGTCGACGTCATCGCGTGCGAAGTTTGGGGGTGTGGGTGTGAGTGTGAGGTGAATGTTCTGTCAGAGAGGGTCAGCTCCTCTAGTCCAGGCCATGACGAAATCCGCAGATGTCTAAGTAGGTCGAACAGCTC